TTGTTGCGTCTCTCTCTCTCTCTCGCGGTGCGGGTCTTTGTGTTGGGTCCTTGTGTGCTGCTCCCTCCCCTCCTGCCCCCTGCCTGCTGCTGGTGTCCTTGTGTCCCTCCCCCGTGTGTGTCCCCTGCCTGCTCCGCTGTGCTGTTGCTGCTGGCTGCCGCGTGGTGTTGGCTTGGGTTGGGGCCTTCGCCTCTCGCGGTCGAGGGTCGAAGGGGGCGCGGCGACGGCGCGCGCGCGCGGCCGCCCCCGCCCGCCGCCACCCGCCGCCGCCTGCACGCCGCCTCTTGCCTGAAGTACCCTCCGCCTGCTCTCTGAGAGAGCCGCCGCAGTCGGTGCTCGCCTGCCTTCCTGTCCCAGAGTGCCTGGGCTGTGGGTCTGCGCAGGTGAGACGGACCCGCAAGCAGTCCACCTCTCTGTGGGGCATGGACCCCGCTTGTCGGGCGTTTGCAGTCCTCCCCCTGTGCCAAGTGCGCCCCCCCCCTTCGGTCGGGACCTCTCGCCCCTTCCGTTGGGGGGCGGGATTGGTCGCCCTCGCCCGCGCGCGAGGTACCGCGGCGACCTCGGCCTGTGGTTCAAGGGAGTGCTGTTGCTGAAGGGTTTCAGCCAGTGCCCTTTCCTCCCCCTTTCCTCCCTCGCTGCCCCTCTGCTGCTGCTGCTGCTGACCCCCCCCCTCCTGCGCGGGTCTCGTCCCTGGCAGGCTTGGCCTGCCGCGGCGTGGCCCTCGCAGTTCACGGACTATGGTAGTTATGGGTATGGATTATTGGTGAGCGTCCTGCGGTGGAAAAAATCTCCTCCTCCTTCTCCTCCTCCTCCTCCGCCTCCTCCTCCTCCGGCCCGTCGCCTCCTCCTCCTCCTCCTCCTCCTCCTCCTCCTCCTCCTCCTCCTCCTCCTCCTCCTCCTCCTCCCCCTTCTCCCTCCTAACATCCTCGAGAGACTCCCGGAGCTATGCAGAACTTCCGAAGGGGGCCCCCACGACGGCACCAGGAGGCCCCCAGTGCCCCAGGAAGTCTCCAGCAGAGCAATGAGGCCCCAAGAGGCCGCCAGAGTGCCTGCGCCGGCCTTGCAGGAGGGCCAAATCAGTCAAAACCAAAAGTATCCCAGCGATTCTTTTCAGTTCCTTCTGGAAGTCCCATTTGTTGCGAAAGTGAGGCTCCGAGATCGCCTCGCAGGCCCAATTGGTCCCGAAGGGATTTGCAGTGTTGCCCAAGGATGGCCCAGGACTGCCGCGAATACGAAGCCTCGCTTGGACTTCAGACACCAACGCTTGGGCTTCCAAACCAAGGGCCCGATCATCTGGACACGGCCCCTCCGACTCGCTACACGCTTGCCCCCATGGCAAGCAGAGCTTGAGCGCGCGCGAAACACAACATGGATTTCTAGTTTTGGATGGAGTTTGGCATCTCGGGGAGGTCCCTGGGAGCCTCTTGGGCCATTTGGAACATTCTTGGGGGTGTCTTCGGGCCTCTTGGAGGCATGCTGGAAGCTATCTTGAACCATCTTGGGCTCTCTTGTGCGACCTTGGAGGCAATCTTGAACGACCCAGAGAGAGGGGATATGGGGGAGAGGTTAATTTGTTTCGAAGGTGACGAAGGAGGTTGGCAGAACGCACTCCAAGGAAAAAAACAACTCAACGGTCTGGTTGGATTGAATATCCCAGGTGGTATAGAGCACGCCAGAAGGCGACGCGTACCACGAACAAGTCGGCCCGAACAGTTTTACAACGGGGGCCCAGACCGTGATGTGCAGACGCAAACACAAAAAGGTAGTGGGGCGGAAAAAGACCAGAGGGCAGGACGATGTTATGCGAAACGCGAAGCAAACCGTTTGAAACCCATCATGGAACGCGCAAGGGTGGTTTAATTGCAACAGAGAGGAGTGGGATATCTCGAAACCAAGGTCCACCGCGCACTTAGTAGAAACGCCGCCGTGTCTTAATGAACCTGTCTTATCAATTGCGCTGTGCACACACGCACACCCGTTGAAGATGTCGTTGCTTTGTCTCTTCCCTCCCTTTTCACTCCTCGCGTCTTCCTTCCCCTTCCTTCCAGCCCTTCTTTTCGGAGGTTGCAAAAGGTGCTCCTGGCCCAAGGTGCCCCCCAGCCTTTCGCTCCATCTTGGAGCCCCTGGGGCCCTCTGGGCCTCGTGTGGGGTGCTCCGGATGCCGCGGGGGCCTCCCTGGAAATCCTTGGGGCGCACCTCGGGCCAGGGGCATGTCAAAGAACACGCGATCCTTGCCTCTCCTCCTCCTCCTCCTCCTCCTCCTCCTCCTCCTCCTCCTCCTCCTCCTCCTCCTCCCTCCTCCCCCTCTCCTCCTCCTCCTCCTCCTCCTCCTCCTCCTCCTCCTCCTCCTCCTCCTCCTCCTCCTCCTCCTCTTCCTTCGCCTCCTCCCCCTGACTGCACCGCCGTGCCGAGCCTTCTCGGCCGTGCTTCCGCGGCGCGGCCGTGCGCTCCCGCATGCCGTGCGCCCGCGGCGCCTCGGCTGCGGGCCGCCCGCCTGCCCTCCGCCCCTCCGTTGGCTTCGCTGTCCGCTGGCCAGCGCCAGGGGCGGCCACGGAGCCCTCCACTCGAAGACTCGAGTAGTACGAGATCGATTAAGTACAGAGCTGTGATGATGGGCTTGTCTTCCACCGCCACCACCATAAGTTGGAGGGGGAGGGGGTCCTCCCCCTCCTCCACCTTCTCCTTCTCCTCCTCCTCCTCCTCCTCCTCCTCCTCCTCTCCGTCCTCCTCCTCGTCCTCCTCCTCCTTCCCCCCTCCAACTTATGGTGGTGGTGGTGGTGGAAAACAGGCCCATCATTTGAGTCACCCCAGAAGTGAACCTTCCGGCGACTCTGCAGCAAAGGCGTATCGTGTTTTCGTAGACCTACGAGCAGTCCCGACGAGAAGACCGTTCTCTGGGGTACATCAATTCGGTAGTCGACCTCGCATTCGAAAGACGAGAGGAAGGCAGAAACATGAACCTGCGGAGCTCCGCGCGGATCTCTTGGATCGGGGATGGGCTTCCCACCCCCCGGCGGCGCCTCCGGCGGCGCGGCAGGGAAGGGGGGGGGTCCAGCGCCGGTCCAAGACGTCCGCGCGGACCTGATCAGAACATCCGCTCGGGGAATCGGATCCGATCGGATCGTGCGTCGGATCGGGCTGCATCGGCACGGAGTCGAGCTCGAGTCGGGCTGGCCGCGCCAGGGTGCGCAGCAGCGCCGCGCAGGCCACGGGCCGCACTGGATCCTGAGCGCATGGGAACCAGAGCGGATCGAGCCCGACGGGCTTGAGACCGAACTGGATTGATCGGAGTTTCTGTCTATCTCGGGGGGTCGTAGAGGGGGGGTTCTCCCACGGTGGGGTCAGGGGACCAACCCAGCTGCATGCTCACACGCCCTTCGTCCAGGAGCGGCTTCCGGCGACGTGCCTCTAACCCCACCTCTGCCCCGAAGTACCCCACCTTTACGCCCCCCCGATCTGCCTCTTCCTCCTCCGCCCTCCATGCTGGCCGCCAGCCGCGCGGCCGGCCGCGCCGGCGCCGGCGCCGCTCCGCGCCTCGCCGCCCGGGGCGCGGGGGGCGGCCCTGGGTTGCTGGAGGCGGCCATGCGCGCGTGCTACCTCCCCGAGGACGGGCCGGCCGAGGTGACCGCGGCCGAGTACCTGCGGTCCGCGGATCGGTGCGATCGAAACGGGTACGCACAGAAAGACTGGGTGCTGAATCCGGCAGCGTTTTTCCTGTTCGTTCTGATCAGGGCTCGCTGTCGGTGTCGCCGCTGGCGTCGTGGCAGAAGGCCGCCTACCCAACAGCGGCTGCTGTCGGTTTCGGACAACATCTGTTGTTGGGCATCGTGTCCATGATTGACTTTCCCATTCTGGGCGTCCAGATCAGACATGCCCAGGCCCCTCTCGTGTCGGTGAGAACGCCACGGCGGGCGGCTTTGGGGCCTCTTCGGCCTCTCGGGGCCCTTGCCTCTAAGCTGGAGTAGTGGTCCCAGCGCAGATGGGCCGGCTGTGGAGGTGCAATTTTCCAGGGAGTTTGCGCCAATGGCAGAGTACGCAACAGTTGGAGGGGCACGAATCAGTGCACGACCAACATCTGTTGCAATGTGCAAAAAATGCTCAACTGCGTCCACGCTCAACTGTGACATCCCGCGCGCAAGCTATTGCATCCAGGCACCAACTCTGGCTTAAATTGCCAGGCCCTGGGGAAGTCGGAAAACAACTCAGGATTGCAAATGGTTCCCCAGGAATAGGTCCATACCTCCAGGGGGGCCCATGAATTGAAAAAGCCACGACGTCAGGGGTCTGGGTCCAGGGCGTTTCGGTGTTTTCGAGACGTGCCACCCAGGACCTCGCGACGCCTTTCCTGGGGCTGGCCGTCGGGCGCGGAGATCTACACCTCAACGCTGCCCCCCTGGCCAGCCATCCTGGCTCCAGGAGCGGTGTTGGCTTTGGGGCCCAATCAGGCGGGCGTAATTTTTCGGCGCTCCTGAGCCCTGGATGGGCCTGGCCGGGGGCGGTGGATATGCATAGATTCCGTCGCCCTGGGCTTCTCCTCCCGGCTCGTTTCTTCAGCCCCTACATTGGGGGGGTTGCTGAAGATGTCCTTGGCCCACGGTGTCCCTAGCTTACCGCTCCATTCTGGGCCCCCCTATGGGTCCTGCTGGGCCTCGTGGGGGCCGCTCTGGAGACCGGGGGTCTCCTTGGGAATCCTTGGGGCGCACCTTGGGCCAGGGACATCTCCTGCAACATCTGACAAGGGAGACAGTTGGTCGCCTCGTTTCTTTTGTTTGTTCGAGCCGCTGGACTCGGAGATCTGATAGAGCGCGTTCTGTGGTCGCTTGGAGGAGGGGGGGGTTTGGAACCGGACGCCCCCCCCCCCCTCCCTGGATGGAGGGGGGGGGGTTCGAACCCCCCCCTCCCGTGACGGAGGGGGTGGGTTTCAACCCCTTCCCCTTTTCCCGTGACGGGGGGGGGATTCAAATCCCCCCCCCCCTGCTTCCCCTCTCCTCGGGCAGGCGCTTGCGTCGGCGGCGGCTGGCGACGGTGGCGGGGACGACGAGTTCCATTTCTGGGCCGGCGCCGGCCGGCGCTTGCGGCGGCGGGCGGCGGTGGCGGGGAGCGTCGACGAGGACGACGGTGGTGGTGGTGGTGGTGGTTGTTGTGGTGGTGGTGGTGGTGGTAGCGGTGGTGGTGGTTGTGGTGGTGGTGGTGAGGTGGTTTGTTGTGGTGGTGGTGGTTGTGGTGGTGGTGGTGGTGGTGGTGGTGTGGTGGTGGTGTGGTGGTGGGGTGGTGGTGGGTGGTGGTGGTGGTGGTGGTTGTGGTGGTGGTGGTGGTTTGGTGGTGGTGTGGTGGTGGTTTGTGGTGGTGGTGGTGGTGGGTTGTGGTTGTGGCGGTGGTTTGTGGAGGTGGTGCTGGTGGTGGTGGTGTGGTGGTGGCGGTGGTGGTGGTGTGGTGGTTTTGGTGGTGGTGGTGGTGGTGGTGGGTTGTGCTGCTGGTAGTGGTGGTGGTTGTGGCGGTGGTGGTGGTGGTGGTGGTGTGGTAGATTGTGGTGGTGGTGGTAGTGGTGGAGGGTTTTTGTGGTGGTGGTGGTGGTGATGGTGAGTTTTGGTGGTGGTGGTTGTGGTGGTGTGGTGGTGGTTTGTGGTTGGTGGTGGTGGTGGTGGGTTGTGGTGGTGGCAGTGGTTTGTGGACGTTTGTTGTGGTGGTGGTGGTGGTGGTGGTGGCGGTGGTGGTGTTGGTGGTGTGGTAGTTTGTGGTGGTGGCGGTGGGTTGCGCTGCTGGTAGTGGTTGTGGCGGTGGTGGTGGTTGTGTGGTAGATTGTGGTGGTGACGGTAGTGGTGTTGGTTTTTTGAGGTGGTGGTGGTGGTGGTGATGGTGAGTTGTGGTGGTGGTTGTGGTGGTGGTGGCTGTGGTGGTGGTGGTGGTGGTTGTGTGGTGCTGTTGCTGGTGGTGATGGTGGTGGGTTGAGGCGGTGGCGGTGGTGGTAGTGGTGGTGGCGCCGAAGGGGGGGGGGTGAACCCTCCCCCCCATCTGGGATGGAGGGGGGGGGTTCGGGAGGGGGGGGGAGTGGGGTCCCGCTGGTTTTGATCGACGGCGCCGAGTGTTGGAGGGGGGGGGCCCACCCCCCGGTTTGAAACGCGCCGCCGAATGTTCCGAATGCAGGCGCCCGTGAAACGCGTTCTCTCTGAGATCTGGCACCACGGAAAAAATACAACTGCGTGGGAGGCCACGACCGAGGCCCTCGACCGCATACTGCTGCGGCACTTCTCGGTCCGGATCGATCTGTGAGGGCCCTGGGGCCCGAAGCAGGGCGAAATCGCCCGGTGCGGAGAAATTGCGACGCAGGATCTCACACCCCGTTCGGGCGTGCCAGAGGTCCTTCCGGCCCAGGGGCCACACGGCCTCGTACGGGGAGATCTCGCCCGCAGGCCTCGCGGAGCTGCTGGACCTCTGCTCGCCGGGTCCCGGCGACGTCTTCTGCGACCTGGGCTCGGGCGTGGGCCGGGCGGTGCTGCAGGCGACTGGCGGCGCGCACACTCAGAGTAGAGTAGGAAGAGGTGCCGACACCGCAACCTCTGCCTCGTTTTCGCCTTCTTGGGCCTCCTGGCAGGCCCTCGTCGCCACGGCCGGATTCGCCGTGAACTTGTAGTCAGGACGCACGCGGGGAGATTTCCGCGGAGTAGGGGTATAGGTACAGGCGGAGTTGTGTTTGCCGCTATCAGCCTTTGGGGGCCCTCCCGAGTTTCCAGGGCCGCCAGAAAACGACTCGGCATGAGAAGCCAGCCCAGGGGAAGGGGTCGGGACTTCTGGGCATCGCGTATGGGTAAAATCGAGATATCGGATGTCTGTGGTGGCGCGAGGTGTCGGGGGGCAGTCAAGGGAGGAAAGGGTACCGATGCCATTATCCTTCTCGTCTCCATGGCAGGATTCGCCTCGAAATCCTTGTCAGAACGTACCCTGGGAGTCTGGGGAGTAGCGGTACCCGTACCTTCTTGTTCCCCCAGCGCGCTGGCGTATCAGTGCAGCCGCAGCGCGAGCTTGGGAGGACAGTTTCCTGACCCATTGCGTCGTGACATAACCCCCCCTCCCCCCATCAGAAACAAAAAGTTCCCCCAGGTGGCCTCCTGAAACGGCGGTGCGTTTCTCAGAAGGCGGGGGCCTTCTCAGAAGGGCTCTGGCGGCTTTTTGGAGGCCCGGGGCAGCTTCCGAGAAGCCCAGAAGCCCCCCCCCACGAGGCAGGGCTGCCCACGGTTCGATTCGATCCGATCCGATCCCCAACCTTCGACTTAAGTCGGGCCTGTCCCTCTACAGGAGGAATATTCAAAAATAGTCGAAAATAGTCGGGGGACGATTTTCTGGGTATTCTTTGACTAATTTGGAGTATTTTTCTTGGGTATGTTATTTTTTTCGCCCAAAATCCCCCTGTAGGGGGACACGCCCGAGCTAACTTCGACTCCGGTTTCGCTCCGTCCCGATCCGACACGAAGCGATCTCCTCGGGCCTGAAGGGGCCGAGAGCTCGAGGCGTGGTTCCCAGAGGACGAGGTCCCGATCCGGTTCCGCGCGGCCTCGTCCTCGTCCTCGTCCTCCTCCTCCTCGTCGTCGTCCTCCTCCTCCTCCTCCTCCTCCTCCTCCTCCTCCTCGTGCGCGGTCCGGCCCTGCTGGGTCCGTTTTCCACCGCCACCGCCATAGGCTGGAGGGGGGAAGGAGGTGGAGGATGAGGAGGGGGAGGAAGAAGAAGAGGGGGAGGGGGACCCCCTCCCCCTCCAACTTATGGTGGTGGTGGCGGAAAACAGGCCCATCAGGCCCGTCTCTCGTCCGATCCGACGCCGCGATTTTCGAGCCAGTTGGGTCTGGCCAGCCTTCTCTCGAGTGGGGGCTCGACTACGGAGTTGATTTGCTCCAAAGTTGGTCTGTTCGTCGAGCCTGCGACGAATACGCAGAGTGCCCCGCAGGCCTACGAGGCATTCTACGCGTGCGTTCGTAAACTGGATGGGAGAATCAGTTTTGGCGTAAATCGATTCTGTAGTCGATCCCCTACTCAAGCTCTCAGAAGGCCGCCCCCCGACGGCACGGACCCTTGGAATTAAGTCGGGCCTGACCCTCTACAGGAGGAAAACTCAAGAAGAGTCCTGAAATGGTCAGGGGATTTGTTTGTTTGTCTGTTGTTTTTTTGCCTTCGTGTGTGTGTGTGTGTGTGTGTGTGTGTGTTTTGTCCACCCAAAAAGAAATGATGAGTATTGCTTGATTTTGTGTGTGTGTGTGTGTGTGTGTGTGTGTGTGTGTGTGTGTGTGTGTGTGTTTTTGAGTATTTTTAATTTTTCGTCCAAAGTCCGCCTGCAGGGGGACATGCCCGACCTGACCCTGGAGGTCTCGGCCCACTCCCTGGGACCAGCTTTTCATCCTGAGCCTTTTTTTGACGGTCCTGGGGCCTGGCGAGGGGCCCCAGAGCCCGCAAATGGCAGAAAACCTTCCGCCGTGTTCTTTCACGACGCGAGCGGGTCTGACTTTCGGGCCATACCTGGGGCCTCTGGCAGCCGTTCGGGACGACCCGGACACCCCCGGAACGCCCTCGGCGAGGTCCAGCTGCTGGAGAGCATCCCGAGGCGGGGAAGGCTGGAGGAGGCAGCGAAGACCTCCGAAAACGTCCGTAGTTTTTTTTTTTTTTCTTCCCCCCCCCTTCACGACACGAGTCTAGACATGCGATGTCCTGATCGTGTCAGCACGCCGCCCCCAGAAGTCCTGATCCTTTCCCTGTGACCCGTTTCTCATCCTGCGCTTCTCTGCTGACGGCACCAGGGCTCGGGGAGGGGCCCCAGACGGCCGAAAACCTCCCGTCTCGTTTTTTTTTTTTTTTTTTTGGTCCCAGGACGCGAGCGTGTCCAGGGATTTCTGCGCGGCGCGAGCGTGTCTGGGAGGGTCAAGTCCGGCCTGTCCCTCTACAGGAGGAGTTTCCAAAAGTAGTACAACATCTGTCGGGCGACGACCTTTCGATTATGTATTTTTCAGCATTCTCTGGCATCTTTTGAGTATTTGTTTTTTTCGTCCAAGCCCCGCCTGTAGGGAGACATGCCCAACCTGATGGGAAGGGGGGCGGTCCAGGGAGGCCGCCCCCCCCCCCCCCCCAGCGCCTGTGAATAGAACCCGTGTGATACCCCCATACATACTCCTTATCCTCACCTCTCCTGCGCCTGGCCGTTTGGGCTCAGGTATTGGGACAAATCGATCAGACCTTTGATCGTGCAGGAGGGAAAGACATCCATCTATCCCTCCTTCCCTCTACCAACGGATCAGGGGTTCTGTACCCTTGTACTTCAATCCCATACACAGCGCCTCCCCCGTGGGTGCGCGGCGCCGCCGGAGAGGCGCACCTGTGCTCGCCGGTGCGGCGGGCCGTGGGCGTGGAGCTCGCCCGTGCCCGCCACGAGCGCGCCGCGCTGGCGCTGAGGCTCGGTATCGTTGAACCGATCCTCATCCCCATCTCCATCCCCTTCGAGACCCCCCCTCCTCCTCCTCCTCCTCCTCCTCTTCCTCCTCCTCCTCCTCCTCCTCCTCCTCCTCCTCCTCCTCCTCCTCCTCCTCCTCCTTATCCACATCCCCGTCGAGACCCCCACCAAATGACCACCCCAGTTGGGGATGTACCCCTCGAAACCCGAAGAGAACGACCTATGTCCCCATCTAGGGGGGGGAATCGGGCCGCGGGGCCCAGGCCACGCCGCTGGGGATGGGGATCGGTTAAACGATACTCAGAGGCGCCTGCGGGCTGCGCGCCTGGGAGATGACGGGCGCCAGGTGCTGGTCGGACGAAGGGCTCGTCTAGAAGAAGAGAAAGCCACACAGACACAAAGTTTTGGCGCTCCGCGCGGATTTCTTGGATTCGCGCCTGGGGCCCCCCGGCGGCGCCTCCAGCGCCGCCCCTGACGCGCTCCGCGCGCCAGGGAGAGGGGCGCGGAGCGCGTCAGGGGCGGCGCTGGAGGCGCCGCCGGGGGGCCCCAGGCGCGGATCCAAGAAATCCGCGCGGAGCGCCACAAGTTTCTGCTTATGTGGTTTTCTCTTCTTCGATCGTCGTTCGGGGCTTTCGGGCGTCTTCGTGGGCTCCTGGAGTCTTTGCAGCCTCGGGGTGCTTTTTCCGCAGCTGCGCCCCGCCGAGAGCGTTCCTGGGGGGGGGTCCGGGTCGTCCCGAACGGCCACCAGAGGCCCGATTTCATGCCCAGAAGCCGGGTCCGCTCGCGTCGTGGAAAATCACGGGGCGGAAGGCGTCTTGCTGTTTTCGGGCTCTTGGGCCCCTCGCTGGGCCTCAGGTCCAGGACCGTCCAAAACTGGCCCAGGACGAAGAGCTGGTCCAGGGGCGCGAGGTACTGGTTTGGTTGGACGGAAGTGTGGGGGTCCCCAGACCTCCAACGATTCGAACAAATCGAGAGGCATTTAGTTCGCCGTTTTCGGCCTCTCGGGGCCCTCGCCAGGCCTGGGGAGTCAAGAAACGGCTCGGGATGGAAGCCCGGCCCCAGGGAGCGGGCCGGGACTTCCTGGGACCGCGCTGTGAAAAGGTCGATCCATCGGAGGTCTGGGTCGGAGGGGCTCGACGTGTACACCACGTCGCTTGGCGGGCCAAGGAGCCGAGGAGCTCGGCGAACGAGCTCGGTGTGTGGACGCTTCAGAGCATCCCACAGCCCGAGGAGCTGGGGCGTCTGTATACCGAGCTCCTTGGCCGACCAAGCGACGCTGTGTGTGTCTGTGTGTGTGTGTGTGTGTGTGTGTGTGTGTGTGTGTGTGTGTGTGTGCGTCGAGCCCCTCCCCTGGGGGTGGGATCGGGCAACTGGAGGGTTTCTCCGAAGGGCTTAGGCGACCCGTCCTCCTCCTCCTCCTCCTCCTCCTCCTCCTCCTCCTCCTCCTCCTCCTCCTCCTCCTCCTCCTCCTCCCCCCTCCATATCCTCCTCCATCTCCTCCTCCTCCTCCTCCTCCTCTTCCTCCTCCTCCTCCTCCTCCTCCTCCTCCTCCTCCTCCTCCTCCTCCTCCTCCTCGGGTCGCCCGCGGCCCCCGGGGAAACCGTGCACGGGCAACCCGTGCCTCCGACAGTGTGTTTTTCAGCCCCGGAGGGCCCAGTGCCGGGCCCAGGGCTCTCAAGTCTGAAGAGCGGGTCCAGGACGAGAGGCCACGGCGAGGGGTCGGAGTCTCCCTGGGGCCGCGCACGGAACGTTCCACATTGTCGGATGTCTCGGAAGGGGGGAGGGATACGAAATTAGCTGCGTGCAGATGGCTTCGGCCCCGCTGCCCCGGCAGTCCCCCTCCTGAATACACGGGTGCTGTGAGGCGCCAGGAGGCCCCCGATGCAGCCACGGGAGCGTTTGGGGATCGCTCCTCGATCCTCCTCCTCCTCCATCTCCTCCTCCTCCTCCTCCTTCTCCTCCTCCTCCTCCTCCTCTTCTCCTCCTCGGTCGGTCGGTCACAAAGGGACGAGTCTGACTCCCTATCGAGTGGTGAGAAAGAGCAGCGGCAGCAGTAATAACACAAAGGAGAGAGATAGCGATCGCGGCAGCGGGCAAGCCTCGTCAGTGCGACATGATGCGTCTTCTCCATCTGTTCAAGCCCAATCCCAGACTGGAGTGACCCCTTGAAGGAGCCTGGTCCTGCGCTGGAGTCAGTGGGTGGTTGTCGGTGGCGTCGGGCACGACAACTTAGAATGCACCTAACGGACTCCACAGACGTGGGTTAACATCACCAAGAA